GAAGAGACAGGCAGTCTGCAGCAGAAACTTTAGTCCTTCAACGAGACGGAGCAGCCCTCTGCCATGACGTTAAATATGAGTTTTACAAGAGGGCCGGCAGTAGTGGAGAAACAAGGGAAGAGCAGAAGGATGGGAAAAGGTTTAGTCACAGTCGGCTGGACTCTAATCCCGCAGGCACGCAGCTGATTCTACTCTGCTCACCCTTTCAAATCTTACTGTTCTTAGAAAATCAACAGTTTTCCTTTCGTATTTTACTTCCCTCCTATGATGTTTCGTATCAGATTAGAAACCACACACAAATAAGCACAGACACTAATTACACACTAATTACTTACACTTGCTTCACTATTGTCACCAGGCAATCTGAGCACTGGGAGTCAGTAAATGAGTACATGTAGTGATTAGGCTTCATAAAGGGCAATCAAACAAACCATTGCGTTATCAATGACACACACACACACACACACACACACACACACACACACGGCTCCTACAGCCATGTGTAAACAAGCTCAGTGAGAACTTTCCGTTGTCATCATCAGTTTCACCAGCTGACTTAGAAGAAATAAAATCTGATTGGTCACCAGTCGAACAGGAGACACTGGCAATTCAAACACTTCTCCACCAACCAGGTCGTGAGCGGCACACGGCAAGGAGCGATATCTGAACAGAGAACGGTACATCAGAGACTGCTTACAGTTTTGCCAGGAATTATGCAACCAAACAAACTACTCAAACCCACACAACTGTCAAATAGAGTAGTGAATAATTAAGGTGCTACGTAAGCTCAACAACACCTTCAAATGCATTGCATCTGTCACACCAAAGTCTCCGCTAAGAAATGCAAGCTTACATCCCTCTTACAATGATTGGGACATACTGTCACACTTTTTTCTTTAAGGTATCTCTTTTTTTTTCTTCTTCCAACTGAGGGTTAAGAATCATGGCTAAAAGGTTCCCCAATAAACATGCTCTCAGTCACCATCAGCAATCGTTGCACACTTTTCTGACTTTGTCTATTGGGTCTCTACTCTTTTACCTTTGTAAAAATGTTTAGAAGAGAAGCCACCCTCGTTTATTTTCTATCCTGCAGCAACAAAAATCTGGTGGGGTCTGGTGATTCCAGTCTAAAACAACTACTACTACAGCCCTGCCCCACTGTCACCTACACCATTAACATATAGGCCTGTGATAAAACAAGGCAAGTCCTCAAAGAACCCAGCCACATGTGTCTGCTGCCTCAGAACCAGCAGAAACAATTATCCTTAGTGTTTCTCATGTTTTCTTATGTCAGCTTAAAAAAGACAGACTCCTGCTAATTCTAAAGAATAATGCATACAGTACCTTTTATGAATGGAGACACACAGACAGCTACTTCCCCTCGCTAGTTCCTTTTTAATTCAAAGCAGTCTCCGGTTTGTCCCCTCAGGTCTGCACACTCAACTGTCTCATCCTGGGTCACTTTATATACTTGTTGGAGAGCGAAGGGCAGGTTAAGCTGTGCAGCGACTCATCAACCTTTACCCAAGGCCCATAATTATTGTTTCACTCCTCAGGCTGATATCATCAACAGAGACTGTCATTAGATGAGCGACTGATGGCTGTGGGCAAGATGCTCGTTCACCGAACGCGCTCCACTCATCCTGAGTGTACAGCAAAGGGCCATTCACCATCAAATTAAAGAGTTTAGACATGACTTGGTCTGTCTCAACCCCTCACTTTTACCCAGAGGTTAGCTTAGAGGTCGGAGATTGAGAGGCAGAAAGCCACAGAGCACAAGCACTTAAGTCCTGCCAGTGGAGGTACCAGATGTGATCTGCCTGTCAGATCGTCTTGGTTGTTCTTTTTTTTTCTTCTTTGAGAGACTTTATACTTAATTACTTACTTAAGTACATTACAAGAAGAAATGTTGCACATTTTATTTGACTATCTACATTTATCTAACAGCTTCAGTTCTAGTTACTCAGCAGAATATTACAAGCAAACATATGATAAGCTCTAGAAATATAATGATATGAAACATGCCAACAGTGCTTACTACATTTAAAAACCTCTTAAAGATTAATGCATACAGATTTATCCCCCTAAAACTTAAAATAAACTTAAAATATGTTTACTTTTGGTTGCAGTAGCAACAGTTTGAAAGCAAAATATCTATCTAGGTTTATTTGTATCACAGTATTACTGAGGGTTCACAAACCTTTTACATGCATGAGAAATAAGAGTAATATGTGGGGTCAAACTTCATTCAGAATTAGAAGTAACAAGTATTCCTTGCATTAAAGATGCATTTAACTATTATTGTCTTTTCACCCCTCTTCCAGACATGTAAATAACTACTGCTTAATTCCAGGACTATTCCAGGTTTTTTATGACCATACGATCCCTGACTGCTAGTCTTCTCTAATGTTTCTCGCCATTGTACAGAAAACAGGCAGAGTGTGTAACAATCCGATGGATTTAATGGGGAACTGTATTTATCAGTATGCTGACTATTGCAGAATCGTTATGATTTTAAGGAGGAAAAAGAGGAACAGCATCCATCTGGCCATACGATGCTGTGACTGGAAGAGTGCTCATTGTCAGGTTTGCTGTATAGACCCACGTTTACACACACACACACACACACACACACACACACACACACACACACACACTCTTTCCCTCCATCTCCGTGATTTTCCCAAAAAACAAACAAAACCGCCGAATAATGGAGAAGATTAAAGTCAACGAGTCACAGCATTTAGTCTAACTTGATCTAGCTACATTAGATTAGCTTACCCAGCAACTCCTTCATTCAAACACGGTCTGACAGTAGTAAGCTAACCCTGCTAGGAGAAACCCTCAATGTGTACAGACGTTTCATTTATTATGAGCCGGTTTGAAATAGCTAGCTAGTACACGGTCAGGTGTGTTAGCCAGATTCTTAATAGCCCCGGACAGTTAGCTTACCCGGTGATGCTGTTGGGGGCAAGAAAAGCAGGGTTGACGTCAACTGCTCTCAAACAACAGCGTCCCGTTCGGCTCCGACCGACAGACAGGCAGACAGACAGACAGACAGACAGACAGACCGGAGGTGTCACACTCGGTAAAGAAAATGTGTCAGATGTGGACAGCAGGATGTCTGTGCCACGCTTATTCACAGAGGAGGAGGAGGAGGAGGAGGAGGAGAGGGTTCCTCCTATTCAAACAAACCACACACAGCAGCAGCGCGTGGAGGATGTGGTGGGGGTCATTTTCAGTAGTGACGTCTACAGTTCGCACGTTTCAAGATGGCCGTGTCTCCCTCGTGCGGTCGATAGCGGGTACTGCAAGACTTCAGATTTTATTGATTGATTGATTTTTGTAAGAACCAGTGGTGGAGGTAATATTCACATGTTTAAGAAAAAACTCATTGAGGAAAAGAAGCAAATCCTCACATATGTGAAGGTGGAACCAACCAAGTGCTAATTAAATAGCCAATTAATAATCAATCAAATAATTGTACCAGCTGATGCTTTTAGTACAATTGGTACAACCAGGATTTTCACATTGTGGTTTTCCTACTTTTACAAAGGTAAGGGGGTACACATTTCCATTACCTATTTTATAATCTCATGTTTGTGAGATTATGTTTGATTAGTTTGTTTTCAGCATGTTTATATATTTAATTATCATTTCACTTAGCTATACAGCTGTAAAGCTCCTTATTTCCCTTTCTTCTCCAAGGACTGTATGAGGATGATTATCATCATATTCCTCGGAAAACAAAGTCCCTTGTTGGGGAAATCTTCCTTGTAGAAAATTCAAATATTTACTAAAGGGATTTAGGAGGACTAACATTAACATTAGGATGATTCAACTGTTTTCTTACACTGCATTGTATTTTTTTCGTTTACTTCGCTGTATATTTAGGTCTCTCCACGACCAAACTCAAAGGAGCAACACATGAGTAATACGATAAGAGTGTGACTGACTGCCTCATAATTTCCACTGCAAAATACAGTAGGGCCTATAATGTTTCACAGAGACACAATTAAGGTGCTGATATGGTACTTCTAGTTTCCAGTTACAAATAGGACTTCCGTCATTGATACGGGAAGGTATCGATTTATTGTATAATTTGTTGTTTTGATAGTGAACAATATGAATCTCGGATAAAGTCCATGTAAAGGAAGATTCCCGTAAAGAATGGGCTCGTCCGGGATTTGAACCCGGGACCTCTCGCACCCAAAGCGAGAATCATACCCCTAGACCAACGAGCCACATATAAATAAGTTGTTCTTCACGAATCAGCTGACAAACTGTTTACATATTTATCTTTATTGCAACTCATTTTTGACATCAAGGGTGGCATGGAGACCTAGATATACTGTCAATGAGATTTATCGAGGCACAATAAATAGGTCAGTCTGGGAGATTTTAAAAAAGTCGTAATTAAATGACGACTCAAGAACGACTGTCAGTGAAACCAAACATAAATACATATAATAGCCAAAACACCTATAATCAATAGCTGAATAAATAAATAACTAAAATGACAGCAAAACCACAACATTAAATAAAATAAATCTCAATTTTGCTTATATTTTTATTTAGTTTTTGTTTTTCCTTATCGATAAAATGTTACAAATAACTATCCAAAATAAACAATAAAATGTAAATAATCTTTTTACTAATATGAGATATTTGAGTGAATTAGAGGCACAAAAAAAACAATACAAATAAAGATACTTACTCTACAAAGGATCTCATAGCGGCTATTTACTGAAGCTATTAATAATTGGTAACTGATATCGTATCGATACGCTCGTACGCTCACGCTGGCGTGATGATTCGTCAGGCGGAAGTTGTTTTGATTGCGGAAGTGTGCAGATGCAGTAGGCGCAGCCCACTGAAGCAATCTGTTTGGGACTCTGTCATTTGAACGTATTTTGATCTATCTGTATGTAGGCTTCTGGGAGCTTCAGTGTACATATCGATCAGGTAAGGATGAAGACACAGTTCGTCGATGGTTGCCAGCTGCTTTACCATTTTAAACTCGTGCTGTAAACAACCCTGGCTGTTGCTAAGTTAGCTAACGTAAGTTAGCGCGGCTAACGCAATGTCGTTGAGTGACAGTTCTAACGAGATATCAGGCGCCAGTGGAGATTAAAAAAGATACACTTTTATCACAACAACAGGATTCCAGTAGAATAAATGGCTAAATAATTCCCAAATGAGGTGAAAGATAGGTTGTGTCACTCACTATTTGAGCTGAAAGGGCCCACAGTTTCACATTTAGTCTCCTCCAGCAGTGGACCGTTTCTGAGAGACAGGAGGATGATGGTTCGTTGGTAGTCAAGGTAACTCTCTCACGTAATGTTGGAGTTTTCTTGTATCTAAGTTAGTATTATAAAATCATTATAAAATATATACATTAAGTAGGTTGATACGCGTTGGTTGACTGCAGTCCTACAGTTGGGTTTGCTTTTTTTGTTTACATTTAGTTTCACTCATTAGCAGCGAGTGGAATCGTGTTTTCACCCTTTACTTTAGTAAAATAAACAATACCATACTTTAAAAATACTCTGATAAGTACAAGTAAACGTCTTGCATATTAAATTTTACTTTAGTTAAAGTACAGAATCAGCAACATTTTATTATCAGCAACATATTTCAAAAGTAAAAGTGCTCATTGAGTAGAATGGATCTTTTTAGAGTTTTATATATATATATATATATATTACATTATTATACATTGGATTATTGTTGCTGAGGCATTAATATGTAAGCAGCATTTAAATGTTGTAGCTGGTCAAGTTGAAGTTAATTTGAACTACAACTGTGTCACTGCATCATGTTTTATAAGTTGCTCATATTTAAAATCTTGATCCTCAAAGTAACAACTAACTATAGCTTTCAGTTAAAAGTATGAGAATAAATTTCACTCTGAAATGTAGTAAAGGTATAAGATATAGTACAAGCAAAATGCTATTGCATTACAATTGTACTTATGTACAGTATTAGTTACATTTACATTTCCTGTTAGTCATCAACTGTTGTAATTTGTGATAGAGTTTGATAACCTTTTAGAAAATGTGCTTGATGCTACCTTTATCATGTTTTAAATGAACAACAGAACAATGTGGAATAAGGTAAAATACATTTTACAAAGCATTGCTGACCTTTTTTCCCCTGTAAATGGTGGCATAGATGTTCAATTACTGATCATTTTGTTGGCTAGACTGATGGTACAACAGTTTAGGCTAAAGACATTTGAATAATACTGACATTAACAATTTCTTTAGCAATACAAAGGAAGTAAACAACACTAAACAGCCGTTGAGTTAATCCACCTTCCTCCTCTTATCAGAGCCACACCCACTGATTACACTTGGTCCTCTCTGTGGTTCTGTGTTGTGTACTGACTAGCCAAGAAGCCATCATGGAAGGAATCAATACAAGTCACCTGCTTTATCAGCGTGCTGACTAATAGTCACATTTGTCTTCATTTGATCAATGAAAGAGTAGAAAACCTTGAGTCATACAAAATAGACCCTCCCAGCAGAGTCATGGCTTTCTTCTAAATATACTCAGCCAATGATTTTCAGACTGGGTTGGGGCTTCACTACAGGGTGAAGACTGAGAAAGACAGTGCCTCTTTGTGCTAGTTTATACATACATGCATAGTTAAGAATGAATAATAAAGCTCAAGTCTTCAGATCATCACAGCATACACACATTAAGTCTGAGATAGTTTTCTGAACTCCAAGATTTCAGCATGATTTGTTAAAATGAACTAAAATCCGACTGTAAGCACCCTAGATTGTGTTGTGTTGTTTTTAATAATTTAGCTATTAACTAGTTACAAGGACTGGAGCGCTTGCTATTACATGTTTACATGATTTGATCTTGGGTGGAAGATGCTTGGCATACGTGATGGAAGGAAAATGTTTGTTCACAACAGAAAAAAACACAAGCTATTATTATTATAAGGAATTATTTAACACTTTAGCCTAGGCTATTGAAAATCATTAAAAATGGAAGAAAAAGATGTCAGACCAGTGTTATAAACACAAACTGTGTGTACAGTGTTCACAGTTTGCTTCAGATTTATCACCACAGCATTAAATTGACTGTATTCAATCTTCATCTTGTCTTTCCAGCGTTCCAGCTTGAGCTGTGTCATGATGGCGGACCACAATGATATCAGTCTGCAGCCGGAGGAGAGAGTCCGCGCTCTTACCAAGAAGGGAAGCTCAGTGGAAGTTAACGAGGATGTGCCTCCGCGCCGCTACTTCCGCTCCGGCATGGAGATGATCCGCATGGCTAACGTCTACACAGAGGAAGGCAACATTGAGCACGCCTTCGTCCTTTACAATAAATATATCACGTAAGTGTTTACAACGATGGGCTGGACTGACTGAGCTTTGTTTGTATTTGGTACATTGATTTAAGTACTTATTCATTTGTCCATCCATGCAATTGGTTTGGTCATTTTTAGTTTGAAGTTCATTACACAAACCAATACATTCTTGTGGGTTAAAATGTCAAGTTGAGAGAAATCATGTAAGGAGACGAAAACAAAGATCTTTCTCAGGATTGGGTTGAAGTAATTTTGGCCCTAGACAAGGTTGACTAATAAATAACTTAAAAACAGAGTGACTTCAACATGTCCTCCTCAGTTGTTACTCTGCATACGTCTGATAAATTAAGTACAGTTTGTGGGCCACAGTTTTGAATATGCATTCTCAGTGGAGGCGTACTCAAATATTAGTCAATAGCAATTAATAACCAGATTTATCTTTTCTTTTCACCAAGGCTCTTTATAGAAAAACTTCCCAAGCATCGGGATTACAAGACCGCTAACATTCCTGAGAAGAAGGACACACTAAAAGTACGCATACAGTATTTATTCTGTCCCGTATGATTGATTTTTATTGTTTTTTGAGGAAATGTTTAAACATTTGCTAAATTTTCTTTCCTCTCCAGAAACTGAAGGATGTAGCATTTCCTCAAGCAGAGATTCTGAAAAAAGCTCTTTTGAGGAGATTTGACCAAGAGTATGCACAGTATCTTGTCAAAAAGGTAAACCGTCATCTCCTGACACACTGAAATGTACATTAACTGCATTAATTGCTATTTGAATGTATCGTCACTGTCGTACGGAACCCTTGTTGGTTTTCATACTTTTCTTTGGTTAAATATTTGTAAAACCAACCGACAGACGTAAAAGGTGACCAATAGCATCAATTTAGGGGGAAAAAGACCAAATATGTAGATACAATGTGACAATATGCATTTTGACACTTAACAAACATACTTAGGTTACGGTATTAGGATTTATTACTAATATAAACATATCATAATAAACAAAAATACATGATACACATTTACAACAAGTAATGTACACTGGTTTTGCTATGTGTAAAGCTTAAAATGGGTGAAACATTTGTCAGTAACACTGCAGCTGCACACTGCGGTTGCAATAAAGGGAGGCCTTTGAGTTTTAACAAGAGTAAATGCTAAAATAATGACACAGACCTTTTTTTAGATTATTGTTACTGAAACTGCTATTAGGTCAAAATCAGCATACACAAAAAGAGACCGCCTGCTGATATATATGATGTGTTTGCCGTGTGCTTAGAAAGCAGAGGAGGAGGCCATGGCGCGGGAGCAGTCCAAACAGCGAGCACTGGACGCAGAGCGGGAACGCGTGGTTGAGATGCAGCGGCGGCAGCGGGAGCAGGAGCAGTTCAGTGCCTTTGAGGAGATGATCCGGCGCCAGGAGCTAGAAAAGGAACGGCAGCGCGTGCTCCTGGAGTTTGCCACGCCCGCCACGCCTGCTCCCGACACGCCCCTCATTCCAGGCATCAAGGGACCCTCGATTGTGTCCCCCACCGCACCACAGAGCCCAGGGGACCATTCTGGGAGCACCAACCACCAATACAATCGCCCTCCTGCGACCATCGGCACACCTGGCACCAGCCTGCCCGGCTTTGACCGGTCGCTAAAGCCCGGGTCTCTGGTCAGCCCAGGGAACAACAGTGAGTTAATCTTTCTCTGACACGAGGGGCTGGCCCTCAGAGGATTTAAATACTGCCCTACTGCTTCCAAGTATTTATTCTTCTGAGCTGATTTCTTTCCCCTTGACCTACTTAATTTCCTGTTTACACCATGCCTTGTTTCAGAACATCACAAGAATTGAGCTTTTGTTTATTCCTCTACATGTTTTTTTGCAGATACAATGGTGGATGCCCTTCGGCAGTTGGCTGTTCCTGCTGAGCTGTGCCGAAGCTTTCTAAAGTTGGCCGAGGCCAACACAACCCGAGCTGTAGAAACTTGTGGCATCCTGTGTGGCAAACTGGTAAGACTCTGGGACAGAGCGGCTGTGTTGGACCCGTTCACTCAATAGTTTGTATAAATGAGATTTTAATAAAATGTTCTTTCATCATGTTTTCTAAATAAGGTTTTCATAATTGAATTCCATAACCTAAGATGATTTAAAAATGAATTAATGTTTCAGGAATGTGTAATTGTAGAATTTAAATTAAACCAAAACAACAGCTGACCTCCCACCCTAGAGGGGTAGAACATAAAGAGACACATCTCCCACTGTCCCAGGTCTGCTGTGGCTTTTGTTTAAATTCCATCATTTGCTGGTCGGGTTTACTCAAAGCTCTTTCAATATATTTTTTTATGAGCATGACGGAGCGTTTTTGCCAGCAGCAAACCAGTCAGTGCTCTGTTAATTTTAGTCCGAGTCCTTGGATAGCTTTTTGGCAGATGATGGCTTTGCATAATTTAAATGATGCTTGTTGTGTTCCAGACCAGAAATGCATTTACTGTGACCCACGTCATCGTACCAAAGCAGTGTGGCGGACCGGACTATTGTGACACAGAAAATGAGGAGGAACTCTTCCTCATACAGGACCAGTACGATCTCATCACCCTGGGCTGGATACATGTGAGTAAAGTTGGGCAAATTCTGGTCAGTGCTGTCAAACAATCAACTTCCAGCAGTGTGAAAATCACAGAATCAGAAACTGTGTCTTTATTCTCAGGAATACGTACTAAGCTAATTTATTCTGAAAAACATGTGTTCCAATAAATGTTGTGTCTGATGTAGTGTTATACTGACGTCTGTCCGCTGTGTTCCAAAGACTCACCCCACACAGACGGCCTTCCTGTCCAGCGTCGACCTGCACACACACTGCTCCTACCAGATGATGATGCCAGAGGCCATTGCTATCGTCTGCTCGCCTAAGTTTAATGAGTGAGTCAGAAAACCCCCGGACTGTCCTCTCGTTCTAAACATAAGATGAGTGGGGGGAAGATTGGTGAAGGAGTTAATATTAGCTGACTCCCATTCCCATTGTTGCGTGTGTTTTTCTCTGCCAATGTATCTCTCTATACTAAAAGTGACTCTGTGTGATTGTGTTTGGCCCAGAATTGGCTACTTCAAGTTGACGGATCGAGGAACAGAGGAGATCTCCACATGTAAACAGAAAGGCTTTCACCCTCACAGCAAAGAACCACCTCTATTTACAGTGAGTACACCTCCACTGTGAGGCCATATGTGCAAATACATATTAATTTTTTTTTAAAGTGAACAGACTTCAGAAATGAATCATATTGTATAGTTTGGGGGTGGACAGATCTTCTTGCAGGAACACTATAGATGTGGGCAAAAGGGGTCATCAATAATTACTGTATACAGTCATAAAATAAAAATGTTATGCATGTTAGAACTGTAACACTTGAGAGATTTTTGATTGCAACTTGGGTAAACCAACCCGATACGTAGTATTTTATTGTTTTTCTATATTTTCTTTTTTATTATGTGTTTTCTGCTAGCAGCACTGCTGCATTGTGGCTTTTTTTTCATCTGTCCACATGAGCAGACTCTAACTCAAATCCGTTTCTCCTTCTCAGCACGCAGGACATGTCACCATCACCGATGACACTGTGTCCATGGTGGATTTGCGGTGATTTTTCTCCCCCTTTTTCACCAGAACACTTTGACGGTTTTATCAAACTGGAGACATTTTACTGGGAAAAAAACACTTTCAGGACGGAACTGAGTGAATGCCGGCCACGAGTTTACCATTTATATGGACTTCAATTGTTCTTGAAGGGAAAAACATTGTGAACTTGTTTTTTTTTTTGCTCTTTAAGAAAAATTCTACACATTATTGCACTTTCCACAACTACTATCTGCTTTATGGACTGGCAAACCTCTGGCTCTTCAACCCCTCTGTTTTTGTTAGTATGTATTCTAGCTCCTTAATGTTCAACTTAGGGTTTTTTGCCATTAATAAAAACGTTGTCAATGTTTGTCAGTGTCAGACAAGTGTCCAGCCTTTGTTGGCATCATAAGTTCTGCCTGACAGATAAAGTGCCAAGGACGAGAACAGGTGTTGGAGTTGTTTACTGTGCATCATGAAGTCTATAGTCTGTAATCATGTCTTTATTCTTTTGACGTGTTTTCTTCATAAGCAGTTGAAGTGCTATGAGTGAAGCGAGAAAGGAAAGCCAGTTATAACTCAGGTATGCAGGCAGTGTTGCTGTTGCTGTCCTGTATTATATTTTTCTATACAAACACTATCAATCCACAGTATCCTTTATCTATAAAGGGTTTTGTTTGAAGTTGAATTCCTACCTATGATGGATAAACCTTTTACTTTTTTTTATTTCCCTATTCTTTGTGTGTGTGTGTGTGTGTGTGTGTGGAAAGGGGTTGGAAGTGGCTGTATAATGTGTCCATGCTTCAGAGGAAATGCGTGCAAGAGGCAATATGAATGTACCTTCTGCTACACATTACTACACATTACTAACCACCTGACCATGGTTCATGCCTCTAACCATTATTGTTTGCTCTTGATACAAAAAGTAAATGATTAGCTCTAATTGTGCGAGTACCTTCAATGAATTCAATGCCAAGATAAAATAAACTCATTATAGGTACATTTTTTCTGTATTGTTTTGTTTGTCATGTTTGTCTAGTGTCATGTAAGTAACATGGTAGGTAAAAGCATTAAGACAGTGACAGATGCAAAAGTTCTGAATAGTTCTAATAGGAAAGATCCTAGGAAGGTGGAGGTAATATGTATCATTATAATATAATATTTTTGGGGGTTTGGCTGAAGAGGAAACAAATCTGTGGCACTCAGTTTCAGGAATAGTCAAAAAAACAAACAAACATTAATTAGAGCATGGCTGAATGTGTGTTCAGTAGTATTTTTTAAAATAATCTTTTCAGAAAGCAAAGCCGGGGAGACACAAGAAATCTTGTGATCAGTGGCTCCATGCTAGTGCTAGTGTTTAGGTTTATTCATCTTAAAAGTGGTAGGATAGTTTAAAATATAACTTTATACTAAAACTTTTTACATAATTCAACTTGTATTTGACACAATAATGTGTAAAAAGTGTTTTTACCCATTCTTCCAGCTGGGGGCGGCAGAGGGCCCGTAATATGAGCGCTACGTCGTTAATAACGACGACGACCAAGAACACAAACAGGAAGCTACTAAAAGCGAACAGGTTTCGGGGGTTATCGGCAAAAGTCTGTCGTATTATTACAATTAATCTTTCAGACCTCCACAAAGACTCAAAATGGGGAAGCGACAGCACCAGAAAGATAAAATGTATGTATAAAACTTTTCCTGAACAACACACCGCAACACTTAAACGCTGTTGTTGTCGTTAGCTTAGCTCACTGTATGCTAACGAGCTAACGTTAGCTAACGTAGCTCAACTAAAGTAACTATCTTAGCATTAACGTTACTTTAGCTTTATTTAAGGTTTCTTCATTGTCGTTTGTCTTGTTTTTCATTCTTATAGGTACATCACTTGTAGTGAGTACACACATTTTTATGGAGGGAAGAAATCAGGTGAGTTATAGCTCTGAGGTTGCTGTTTGGGTTATTTATGTTTGTTTGTTGTCATTTAATAACGTTAGTATTGTACTCTTACCACCAGGTTGTTTTCACACTGTCATATACTGAAGGATGCCTGTTTATTAGGTCTGCCTAGCTAAAACTAATGCAGTCTAATATTAGGGTAGATTCATATTTATCCATCTTCTAGATTTGGGGTTCCCAACTTTTTGGCCACTTGTGACCCCTCAAAACAAAGCAGTGTCTATGTGTGATCTCTTGCCAGTGATTGACCAGTTAAACCAAAGAATGGTTTCCTTTTCCTTGTTGTGTTTAAATAACTTTTACAGTCCTGAAGAGGTCAAAAAATGTCAGTAATTTACAGGAAAAAAAGCAAAGATTAGATAAAAGACTGAAACACTGACTGTTAACAATAGTTGGAAACTACTGCATTAACTTGAAGTAAAATGTCTTTTAAAATCGACAAGATGTATGGAAATGAATGCCATTTTATGCTTTATTTCAATTTTTCTTTATGATTTTACTTTTCAGAAATCCCACAGGCAAACTTCAGACGACTTTCATTTGACCACTGCAGGTAATGATGGTGAATTAAATCTGTTTAGTTGTATTGTGCACTTAGTTTGCTATTAGATCAGTAACAAATTGTAGCCAGGAGTAGATTATATTTGACAGGAATTTGTTGTATTGGTGGGCAACATCTATGCAATGACATCTGTTGAAATCTGTCTAGAAATATACTTGTTATAATTGTAAATTATATACCATTTGTCTCAATTAAACTTTTCTTTGAATCATTTCAGCTTGTCCCTTCAGCCATTTGAGTATCCTGTTTGTACTGAGGAGGGAATCGTCTTTGACCTGCTGTAAGTAGATGTCTGTGAGTGCTTTCAGCTGCCATTGCGTGTTTATGTAATACCCATGCAATGTACTAGACAAATTCCCAAACAGGTTAAAGGTCATAATCTAATTATTCACTCAAATCAATCAAATACCAACAATGTCTTATTGCCTGCTAGTTTAATGTTGAGGGTGATTTTGATGATCAGTCTGTTGCATGATTTGTCTGTCAACTCAACACTAGTTCTGGTTGAGATATCTCTGCAGCTGTTGTATACATGTATACGTACATGGATCTCTTAGTAATCCTACCTCAAGCCTTGTATATTTATTGGTGGCGTCATACTGAACACAATAGGTAGACAAATTGTTAAAGGCCAAATATATGAAGAGGGTGAAGGACGTTTATCATAGCTCATTTGTTTTCGTGTTTTTCTTTCTTCCTCATGTTTCAGGAGTATTGTCCCATGGATCAAGAAGTATGGTACTAATCCAGCCACTGGAGAGGTGAGCAACCATCATATAGCCAAACAGCATTTTAGGCAACACACTGCTGTAATTGAATATGTTTTGGTTTTGGTCTTGGTCTGTTGGTCGGACAAAACAAGAGATTTAAAGATGTCACCTTTAATACTGAGAAATTGTAATGGGCATATTTCACTATTTACTAACATTTTATATACTAAACAATGAACAGATTAATTGATTGTTGAATTGTTGCAGCCATACTTCACGTACTTCAGAGGTTTACATTTTTTTTATTTTCTTCACATGTATTACAAAACAGTATTTAATGGCAGTATTTGTTATGAACTGTTCAGTAGTGTAGTTTTATGTTCGGTTAAGTATATTTATCATAATTATTGAAGCTGAATATAAACCCTGAAAAACATCAGCTCTAGACTACAGTTTAAAAGAAGAGTCCACAAAGATGCTCTAAGAGTTTCGTCAAATGCCTCCTTCTGCTTTGAAGGAAAAGGGAAACATCCTGATTTTTTAAAAAAAGTCATTTTTGATTACATTATTCTTATTGTAGCACACTAACACCTCCGTATTTTTATTTCCCACAGAAACTGGAAGCAAAGTCCCTCATCAAACTTAACTTTGCCAAGAACAACGATGGTAAATATGCATGTGTTTAATGTACTTGAGCCTGATTTACATAGAAACTAGGGGCATAATACATTTATTTTCTCATTAGAGCTGAATAAGCTTAATTTTCCTGATTCTAATCACCAAAATTATCCAGTGGTAAGGAATAAAAAGGTCAGATTCACACTTATCTTACTGCACTGCAGAGCTGCTTGAAAAAGACATTTTGACTTAGTGTTACAGGGTAATTTTTGTAAAGGGGATAAGAGCAAATTAAAGTAGAGGAGGAAGATGTGGGATGGATAATATAATTCAGCAGGGAGCCCATTACATGGGATGCTTCTTGACTTCTGGGTGAGATGAGTTTCCAACCTGTGGCAGCAGATTGAGAGTGGCTCTGCTGCTCTTCTTGCTTCTGACTTTCTTTTCATTTTGTTCCAGGAAAGTTCCACTGCCCAGTTCTGTACAACGTCTTCACAAATAATTCTTACATCGTTGCCAACAAGGTCACTGGCAACGTGTTTTCTCACGAGGTGGGTGAACTCATGCAAAATGCAGAAGTCCAGCCCACATGGTCTCACAAGATGTGACATCACACCGAATTAGTTCTGTGCAGTTTCTCTGGTTTTATATAGATTTTTTTACAAAGTAGAATCCAACTTTTTTAAAACATGTTTTTCATTATCATTTAATTTAAGAAAAAAATAGGTATGTAATATTGATATTGAGTGACAATTCCAAATAAATAAAAGGAAACATAAAATCAATTTCATGTTCATGTCCCTCTCACACAAATTAGTAGTCTTAGTGTGTGCTAAGTGAGGCTTTTGTTTTCATAAATAATTCTGTTTCCACTCAGGCTGTTGAGCAACTCAACATTAAGACCAAAAGTTTTAAAGATCTGCTGACTGACGAACCCTTTACCCGAAAGGACATTATAATACTTCAGGTGGGTCAGTTCTGTATTGTTTTATAAAGCTGAAAGCACATTATTTTGGGAAAATTAACATTTTAAGTTGATGCTGAATTTGCTTTTGTTTTGTCTTTGTAGGATCCCACAAACCTGGATAAATTCAATGTGTCCAACTTCTTCCACGTAAAAAACAACCTGAAGGTTTTGGATCCAGGTGAATAATCAAACTGTTGTGTGTAATATTTAAATTAACAATTTGGAATTACGCTTTGTAATTAACTTCTAATTATCATTTATAAGTGGAGTTACGCCATCATGGAATATGAAAGTGCTTTGATTAAACCATTTCCTCCCTCTCGCTCTCCTTCCCCTGGCACATTCCAGATGAGGAAAAGGCCAAGCTGGACCCAGCCTACCACCTGAGGACCACCAATCTCGAGACCAGGGAGACCTTAGCTGAGCTGTACAAAGACTACAAGGGCGATCAGCTCCTGGCTTCCACGATGAAGGAGCAGCAGGCCAAGAAGACAGATAAATTAAACGCTGTAAGCAAAAACACTATGATGTTAAAGTTAAGAGAAAGTAAGTGGAAAAAGGAGCTTCCTGTCATGCAAGGCTAGTCTTAACAATGTCTTCATTATGAACTCATTTCGTCCTATGATTACTTAAAAACCACCAGCTCCCCTTTGACTTAAGAACCAGGTTCAATCTCTCACAAGGAAGGCTGACCTCTGACCTCATGGAAGAGGGCAACTAAAAGGGGACATTTGCTACCAAAATCAGTAAAGCATCAAATTACATCAACTTGCTGACTTTTCCCAGCGCTTTCAGCCATGTCACATGGTCTTTTGTTTGCTTGTTTGTCATGGAGATTACATACTAGTTTAAGTAATCAAGGTCCATTTACTGGCTTTTTCTGGAGCTTTCAGTCATACCACACAGTGCCCAGTTCTTCAGTTATGTTGCTGCAGCCTTTCAACAGAGCATTAATGTGGTGAAGAAGTGTAATTTCTACTTTTGTACACAGGAGGGGGCCAAACACACAGTAATACATTAACCGTATTGTGGGCAACAAGACAAACAACTGCATCCAGGAACAGAACAAAGAATGTTTACAGTGCTGTGACAGTGACAACATGTCAATGTCTGAAACATTAGTCTGAGTGAGACATAGGATTGGTACAAAGCATATTTTAGATATACAACAGGTTTATATTCTTTAT